TTATTATTATTATTATTATAAAGTATTATGATATTATTAAAAAGCATGCCAAATATCCATGATGTAATCATTATAATGTGATCAACACAATGCAATCAATTGAGTATGTATTTGCACTTTGTATTAGCCTAAGAGTTTTTGTTAGGTACTTTATGTTAGTCCTGAATCTATGAATATCCACTTTTATTAGTGTATACTTTATCACTATGTTAAAGGACAAATATATTATCAACCTTCTAGTTAGTCAATGTGGAAACAGGCTGACGCTGCCTAGGTTTACTACTGAAGGAAGGGAGTCGCTTGAGTTCACCAGAAGTTCACGGCTGAACATTTTTAAAAAACCAAGTGGAGATGGTCGCGCCACCATTATGTTCGGCCGAGGGTCGAAATAGTAAAAAAAATGATGGACAAACTTGTCACCTAGGGGAGTGGATTAAGGGAAAAAACAATGATTGTGAATGGTTGAAGGAGTGGTGATGCTCAAGTGACGAGATATTGTTGAATGATAAGAACTTGTATAAAAATTAGTGTAAAACAGTATTGGACACACACCTGCAGGGTGTCCAGCCTTGGTTGTGACCTCGCTGTTGCAATAAAGACTGAATCTGAAGATCTACACAAGCGGCTCCTGGCTCCTGATTGGCGGGGAAGAAAAAAACCAACTACACTTTCTGCCAGGATGGGGCTGCTGGCGGTGTGCTTCTCATACCCAGGACCAGCGGTTAAACGGCTTCTCATGGGCTTATCGCTCACGACTCCCAAAGCTCTTATGCCGATGTTTTTTCATTACTTAAAAAACATCGTAGTTAAAGGGGTTTATTTGAAATAAGAGGCGCACCGTTGGTGTCGCCATTTTGAAATGGGATGTCTGCGTGAGTGCGCATGCCCCCCACGGACAGTCAGTTGACGCGCAACTTTTGAACTGGAAGGATGCATGTCGAGTTTGCTCCGTTGCGGGATAATGGCTGCCTTGACCCCGCTGTTTGTGCGGCGTCGTAGGAACCCAGAGCGGCTATTGTTGGATCTTCGCGTTTGGTGAAATACTTTTTTCTATTTACACTGAAATAAACTGTTAAACTGATAATGGCTTTTGCATCGTTTTTAAAACTTGTGTTAAAATACTTAAGTGCTTTGTCTCTTGTCAAACGACGTGCTGTATCATGTTAATTGGTTTCGCTCAGGACTTGTGCTTGTTTAAACTCAGCATTTGCTCTTCTGACAGTGTTTCGTTCAGGCATGTTTGTTCTTGGTTAAATTCCGCCTGCTCTGGGTTTATTTTAAAAATAGCGCTAAAGTTTTTCTTCTTTAAATATGCTGGCTAAGTATAACAGGGTACCCGCGGTTATGGAAAACCTGGAAAAGTTTTGCAATTTTGGAAAAAAAAATTCCAGGCCCTGGATAAGTTTTGGAATTCTTGGATAGAGAGGAAAAGTTTTGGAAACTGGCCTTGTTCATTTTTGTTTCCCGCTTCGTTCCGCAAATCGCTAACGGAAATGTACGAGCGGAAGTCAGTAGTTAACTACCTTATACAAATACTGTTCTATCTACTTTAGTTTTACAAACTTGTGGGTTTTGGAAAATTTTATTATAGTACTGGAAAAGTTTTGGAAAAGTCATGGAAATTTATTCTGCCAGAATTGGGGGAACCCTGGTATAATGAATTCAAGTGCTTTCTTCTTTTTAAAATGCACCGGGGCGCTTGTGTCTACTGCGGACGGAACCCCCGCTGGCCGTGTACGCGCTGGCTTACGTTCATCCTGTAATATGCTTTATTATTCCTTAAAACGTAATTAAAAATAACACATTAATAGATACATGTGATGTATTTCTATTCTATTTAAAGTTTAACGGCAACCCAAACCGTCTGGCCCCCCTTATCAGGTAGCATAAATATGTATGATACCATATATGGACATAATCCCCATATCCGCAATTGTGGCATAAGCATGTATGATACCATATATGAGCATAATCCTTCGTCCAATCCGAACCCCCTCCGGTTTATGGAGTCATAAACGGAGACCCATTTAAGCTTCCCCCACAAAATAGGCACCGCCCAAGGTACCAACTAATATTTTTTTTTAATCACTTGCAATGAATGGTTTTGGACAACAGGTGTTGTACTTTGTTGTTCTGTTAAATATTGCTTTGGTCTTAATGAAAATTCAAGTAATGATTGAAAACATTTAGGAATGCCTCTAATCCTCTCGACTTCTATCATGATTTTTGTCTGGTGTTGTTTCTCTTTGCTGTAGGTAATGAAGTAGATGGGCCTACACTTCTGCAGATGTCTGAAAGAATGGGTGAATGAGTGAATTTTTCTAAAAATAAAAGACCAGGTGAAGTTCCTGTCTGCTTCAGCTAAAAGTGTAAGTTACGTTATACAGTTAAGTCATGTAATTTCAGACTTATTGAGATTTCTGAGGATTTACTTATCTTGTTTTTTGTATCTTTTTAACACATTGGCTTTATTTAAAATCTGATTTTCTACCAATTTTGCAGTGAAAGCCAAGCCCCTGTGAGTCAAATAACCCCAGCAGCCCAACCTATGATGAACTGCAAAGTCTGGTTTCCTCCAGCAGTCTTCACTGCATTGACCAATAAAGATGCAGTTCTGAAGTCGCATACAGAGTAAAAAACATGCTTATTCAAGCTCTGTTTGATCATTTAAGCCAAGAGATCATGTAAGTCTTTGTTCCATAATAGGAGTTTTTTTAAAGAGCTGATTCATGGTATTACAGTGGTTTTACAATAGGATCATCTGTTCAATTTCAGCTAAACTTTTACATTTTGCCACACCCTACTGACATGGCATCAGCAGTGTGCTCATACTGCCAACTCTGTTGTCCGTTTGATCTGATATTATAATCATTACGATATAGTCACATGACATTTCACCACATGCAAATTCATTTCATTTCCACCACTCCATCTAGGTGCCTAACTTTTTTTTGTCACCGAGTGTATATCTCCAGAGTTGCAGCTCTGAATCTGTTTTACATCTGGCAGCATGCTGCAGCCTGCCCAGTAGCTGCAGTGACTAAATGGCTGCATATCTGATCATATCTGACCCGGCCCTAAAAACACATATGAATGGAATGGAAGTACTCCCTATGTTAACAACAGTATACATACTGTAAGGCTAAATTTATATAAACGTATATACACACACACACATACTTACATACATACATACATATATGCTAAAAGCCCTGGATGAAGGCCCCCAATGTCCACGCTATGTTGCAGATGTGTGTCAACCAGGACAACCCTGCAACATCCAGAGTCTTGAGGAGCTCTGGGCGGATCTCATCCACCCTCGGGGCCCAGCCACCGAGGAGTTTAACCACCTCAGCGACCTCCACCCCAGAGAGAGGTGTGAGGGGGGAGCCAGAAGAACGTCAGCGTTCGTCTGCTCACTCTCAGCGGTGTAGAGCCGCCACTCCTGGATGTAGCTGAGGACCGGGTCAGGCAGCAGGTACCGGACACTGCGGCGGATGTCTCTGGCCACTCGCGCAATACGTGGATGTTGCGGTAGTGTGGCCAGAGGAGGTCGGAGCCCTGAATAATGGCCTCTGGATTGGATCCACCGCGGGTGCTGCACACCAATCCAAAATTGTTGACGATCTCCTGGATGTGCTCAGGCTTCCACAGCCCTGGCACCCCGAAGGAGTCCCGTACGTCAGCATCGCAGAGTAGCATGAACCGCGGCTCATCTGAGGAGGCAGCGGAATCATCAGCATTAAATGATGCAGTTTATTATTATTAATAATAATAATTAATAATAAGTTTTATTTATATAGCGCCTTTCATACACTCACGGACACTTTACAAAAACACATTTAACGAGGCAGGCAAGTTAAATACAAGAAGAATAATATTCATTCAATAGATGTGTTTTTAACAGGAGCTTAAAATGGATAACAGATTTTTCCTTACGGAGACTGAGGAAGAGCATTCCAAAAGTTAGGAGCTGTTACACTAAATGCTCTGCCACCCATAGTTGATAACCTGTGCTTAGGTACAGTGAGTAAGTCTGCGTCGGGTGATCTTAATGCATGGGCAAGAGTGCACGGAAAGAGTAGCTCAGACAGATAATGACCAGGGGTGAGTTTCCCGAAGCCTTCTTAACGCTACATCGTTCGTTAGTTCTATGTTTTAACACAGA